ATAAGCAATGTGTACTTTTGCGCACCAAGCTATTTTTTAGATAGGCATTAATCAAGAACAAAAAAATAAGAATTTGGTGCGATTTGACTGATGTATTCACGAATTTCAGGCTCAACTGTCTTTTATAAATCGGAAAATGTTGTAATTTTTGGAAATCCATACCAATTTTTTGATCATTTTCGATTCAATTTTTGTCCGTATTTTTGACCAAATGCCAGACGAATAAAATAAAATATTACAGATTTGAAAACTCGCACTTACCATAATTGTGAGTTTTTTAGCGCCCAAACAGTTCATTTCCAGAAGTACTCGAAAACCTGAATAAAATCCGAAAATGTTCCCGAAACTCCACCACTGCATGCAATATTCTTGGTTAGTAGGTGCATAACAACAACACTGGTCTGACTGACAGCAAACGTCAGAATTTCTTCAAATTGAAAAATCGCGTTTTTTCACTAAAAAAAAGCGCACAATCGGCCGGAAAAATACTACAAAACGAAGAAAAAACATTAATGTTTCGGAAAATCCTCTATTGTTCCACCGAAAACTGAAAAAAACTTCGACTTTTGGCAAATTAATTCGGATGCGACCCGCACAACCATCAAGAATAGACTGAAGTGACATGAGAAATGACGTGTTTTTGATAGTTGGTAACTGAATAACAGTGACGTGTCATGCGTATGGAAGGGTTTACTGAAAATGATTTTAGCAAAGCGGTTTGGAAAATTTCGGCTATATAATTGACATTAAACTGCTTTCAGTTAACAAACAATTCAGCGCAGTTGTTTTGCTAATGACTTTCCAGATAACTTTAAGATAAAAGGAACGATTTAAAGGAATATTCTCGAACAAATTTTCGAAATTTGGCCGTTTAAACTGCAAAAAAATCCTCAACTGAACGATTCAAAGTGCCTTTTGCACACTTGGTCCTTGGCCCAGTTGAACTGAAAATCCGATTTCCATTCGCCCGAATTCATGAATTAATTAAATTCATGTTTTCCAATACAATGTTCGACTATTCCTATTAATTAATTCAAAAATGCATATCTATGCACTAATCAGTGGGTAATAAATAGCAAATTTAGATAAAATACCATGCAACTGATGGCCGTGCGATCAGAGCGCTGCATATTAAATAGTCCATTTTCGATTAATTTCAATTAAAGGACTCATTTCACTAAATCGCTACTACTTATATTGCCCATTACGGGAAAATTGTGCTTGAGAGCGAAATGAGCCTCGAAACTGTCAAGCTAATGACTTTGGATGAACTGCACTGAATTGATTGAATCTCGCACATTCGTCTCCCAGGGCTGATTAATATTTAAAACTTTCGCTGCGATTAGTCCACCTGAAGTCACCACTTTTTCGAATTACCGCGTCCAATCAGGACAGGCTGTTTGCACAATTCTCGGCATTTTTCCAGCTCAAGCAGGAATCGGAAACTTAATTGCACCGAGGGCCTATGGGGAAATATGGGACACTGCATGGGGACATATAAATTCATTTTTAATTTTATTTTGCCACGGCGTTTTCACAGAACTGCTGTTATTAATTCCGCTCACATGCCAGCTGCTGTGGAATAAGGGAGGTTTTATTGAAATATACACCGTTCGGTTTGCTGCTCGGGCATTAGCAGTTTCAACTTTATTGAATTTGTTACACATTTTTATCAACCCCTATAACCCCGGCTGCAAAGCCTTTTAAAATTTCATCCTCTTTTCCTCAAATGAACGTTTCACCTTCCATACACACCCATTCACTTGCAAGCAAAGTGCATTTATCCACCAGCAAACCCCATCTAAACATTCTGATGAATTAATCCCACCAAACCCCTCTGTCTAGTGTCCAATCAGGACACCAATTCAGGCGAAATTAAGAGCCCTTGTGATGTTGCTTGTTGGAGGATTCCAACACTCCACTTAGAGTTGGGAGGTTTTGGTAAATATTTACATTAAGTGGACCGCCTCTGCTTTGTATTAGGCAAATGGGCAAAAAAAACTGCCTTCTTAAGCAAGCGCACGGGATTTGTAATCTTAGAACTAAACAGCTGGAATAATCGCGCAAATATTAACAGAGAAAAACACATTAAATCCTGTGGTTTCTTTTGAGCACGTTTACAACTTACTCGCTCGAGTCGGGTGGGAATCGCGGCAATATTTTAACATGGACTGCAAAAAATCGGGGGATAGCGGCGATATTGAGCAATAAATTTCGGAAATTACAATTTTGGTCGTTGCCGAATCCGAAATTTAATAAAAGTGCGAATTTATAAGCGTTTTCGGATCTCGTGGGACGACTTAAGTTGTTCTGCGGGTAACATACTAACCTTTATTAAATTTCGGCAAAAAACCAAGGAAAAGCGCCTGATCGGCTGTTGGTGTTGGACATTTTCCTTAGATGAATATTTTCCTTATAAACTTCAGATAGTTAAAAGTGGCTTCCAACAATCGATACTTTCGACTGATTGGTTCTTTCAGAATTAATTCTCGAAGTTGTCGCTGACTTACATTTGTCCCCATATTTCACTCAATCGATCGTAACTTAGAGCTCCAGAATTTCCCAAACACAACTCGTTCATTCCGTTAAATAAAGCTTTTAAAAGGTTTTTTTTCGGACAACCAGGCCATTCAAAGCGAGAGTGAATTGGCTCAAGCTGGCCAAACATTACGAAAACGTCCCGGAAAGAGTCCATTGGAAACCGTCTTCGTATTTCAGCACTATTCAACAGTCGATTAACTATTCAGCAATTTAAAAGCCATGCACTGTGCATAATTCGTGCTCCTTCCATTGGGATTAACTTTACTAATGCATGGACTCATCGTCCGATTACCTGTTGTGTTTCCGAACGCTCCAGAGCAGTTTTGAATTATTTTAGCAGTGAAACTTGATTTTTATTCGGGGTTTTAATAAATTATCGTGCATTTTTCGATCGGGGCGACAGGGACTCAGCTGGATGCACAGCATTTACCACTCCAGGGAAAGTCACTTCTAGAATTAACAGGTAAAAAGACACCTGCAAAGGAATTGCTGTCCTTCATCAGTTTTGCTTTTGATTTAACTGAGTTTTAGCCAGACGAGACTGTGAAGTCTTTGCAGCTGATCAGCCGAATTTCAAGTTGTTACTTTCATCAGTTTTGCGGAACCGATTTTTCAAAAAAATCAATGTAAACTTTTTGAGTTTGCCGTTTGTCAGACCAACTTTGACGGCTTTTTGAAAAATCAGCATTTCCGTCGATTTTTCTGCATTTTTGCAAGACGAAAGCGTAAAGTCTTTTTAGTGGATCAACCCATTTTCAAGTTGCCAGACGAATCAGTTTTGAGGCAACGAATTTTCAAAACAATCAACGTCCATTTTTCACTATTACAGTTTTTCAGAGTAACTTTGATGGTTTCTGAAAAATCAGCTTTTCATTCGATTTGACTGGATTTTTGCGATAAGAAAGTGCAAAGTCTTCTGAGAGCAACTACCAAATTTCGATTTGCTACTTTAAGCCAACTTTATGTCAACGGTTCAAGTTAGCCGCTCTTGAGAACAACATTTTATGGTTCCTGAAAAATCAGCCATTTTCCCGATTTCAATGAGTTTTTGCCAGACGAAAGTGTGGGATCTTGCAGTGACCGAACTAAATTTTAAGTTGCTTCTTTACCCAGTTTGAATGCAATGAGTTTCCAGCAATATCAAAGTGAACGTCTTTTTGCCGTCTTCAGAGAAATATTTTACCGTTTCTGAAAACTCAGTTTTTCTTTCTCTTTGACTGAATTTTTAGCTCGTTGCATTTCTTGTCTCTTTCCGACGGAAATGATGTAGCCGTCGAGGGATTTTGAGAAACTAGATTTTTTTTTGGAAAAATCGACCTCTTACTCCCGCCTTATGAAATTTTCAACCAAAAATCAAAATTTTGCAATCGTGTTTTTTGCGCTTATTGGATTGTTTCCGACCTAAGAAGCTGCCCAATATCGAATACGAAAGTTGTGGGTCGAAAATAAGGAAGATATCGGCCGTTAAAGATTGCGACCGCTTAAAAACCGTTCAAAATAGACAGAAATTGTTGATTATTTGGGAACTGGAAAGGCCCCGGTATCTTTAAATTAGCTCGTTGCATTCCTTGTCTCTTTCCGATAAAAATGATGTAGCAGTCGAGGTATTTTGAGACTTAAATTTTTTGAAAAAATCGACCTTTTACTCCCCTCTTATGAAATTTTCGACCAAAAATCAAAATTTTGCATTCGTGTTTTTTGCGCTTATTGGATTGTTTCCGACCTAAGAACCTGCCCAATATCGAATACGAAGGTTGTGGGTCGAAAATAAGGAAGATATCGACCGTTGAAGATTGTGACCGCTAAAAAACCGTACAAAATAGACATAAATTGTTGATTATTTGGGAACTGGAAAGGCCCCGGTATCTTTAAATTATCTCGTTGCATTCCTTGTCTCTTTCCGATGAAATTGAGTCAAGGTATTTTGAAAAACTTCAATTTTTTGGAAAAATCGACCTCTTACTCCCCCCTCATGAAATTTTCGACCAAAAATCAAAATTTTGCAATCGTGAGCGCCAAGTCGTTTTAGTGGATCTGCCAAATTTCAAGTTGCTACTTTAAGTAGTTTTGATGCGACAGATATTAGAAAAATCAGTGACAACTTTTTGTTTGTCGTTCTTCAGGCTGTTGATCGATTGGCGGTTCTGAAAAAATCAGTGTTTTCTTCGATCTTATTGAATTTTTGCAGGCCGAAAGCGTATAGTCTTCGCGGTGGATCTAATAAATTTCAAGTCGCAAATTAAAACAGTTTAGAGACACCGATTTTAAAAGAAAACAATGTCAAGTGTGCCGTTTTACAGGCCAACTTTTAGGGGTTCCTAAAAAATCAATTAGGCCCTTGATTTGACTGAATTTTTGCCCCAAATGCACCCTAAGGTTTATTCTTCAAGCCATTAAATTTCAACTTGCTGCTGTTCTTTTTTCGGTCATATGAAAAATAACCATTAACTGGGACTCACCTGGATGCACAGCATTTCCCACTACAATGAAAGTCACTTCCAGAATTAGCAGGCAAAATGATACCTGGAAAGGAAAACGGTTGGTTTAGTGGAAATGCTCCAATCAGGGCGATTGACTTGATTAAGTCGATGAGCAACAACTCAAATTCAGATGCAATTTGTAACCGCATCAGCTTTTATAATCCATAGAGCTAATTGGCTGCGAACTTTCCCCATTCTATTGCAAAGAGATTACAGCCAGATATCCCAAATGTAATTATCCGGAGGCAAAATCGCGACGAATGCATGTGTTGAGTACCATTCGGGCATAAATGTTCCGCAAAGGTATTATCTCCAAAACTAGGGAGTTGAGAGCCGTTCCTGACTGTGCCGTAATGAATAATTCGCTCATCGAAGAACTTTTCATTGGAAACCAGTTATCATCATCCGACAAAAAACAGATTATTCAATCAGGCCTGCACAAAGACCTGTTCTGCAAGCCTAGTTTGCGGGAGGTAATTAATTACACAAACTTTGCCGGCCATTTAATTGTATTTCCAAGGTAAAATCGTTAGCTCCAGTTGGAGTGCAGGCCCAAGTGAAAATTAGAACTCCCCAGAGCCTAAACAAACTCCAACAGATCAAATTACCGGCCTGGTACAGTGCTGATAGGAAAAAGTGAACGAGGGCCACATATATAAGCGCACTCATTCGTATTTGGGCGAAACTGACTGGAGTTGCCTACAATTTTCCAGTGATTCCAGATGTTTCACCCGACGTTTCGCCTTTAAATGCCGACCGCATTCTCAGGGGACGTCTACTGTAATATTGCTACATTCTAAGTCATTTGTCTTTGTTGAGTTGGCCAATACATTAAAGTGGGAAATTGTGCGAATATTTTCTTCAGTTGAAAGCCCTGTTCGATTGGTTTTTGAGTGCATTCAGTAATATTTGAAGTTTCGGCGGGGCAAATGATAAATTCTATTAAAACGCAATGAAGGAGACTGGCAAAATTCGCGCAAATAAAGTTCAAATTTGCATTATTCGACTGGGTGTCATTTAATTATCGCGCAAAACAAGCTAATTGAGTTCTTATAATCAAACATGCAAATGTATGTGCATATTCAATTCGAATAAAATCGAAATTTCACGCCACCAGTCGAATTTAATGTTGCGGAAAGCTGATAAACAAAAGCTCCTATTCGAATTCGATATTCATACGCATTTTCGGTACATAATCGGCGGTAATCGCGAAAAATTGACCGTTTTTGCCATTTTTTTCGAGAATTAGCTTCGTTCATTCTGTAAACTGTGGAATTCTTGCAATAAAAATTTTACAAAATTTGAGGCATTTTGAGTCATTTGAGTTTTGTTGCTAAAATCTTACCCGGAAATTTTCAAAGCGCTCCATCTCCCGACCTTTAACCGACAATTTCGTGTCTTCAGCGATTCTAAAGTTCAAATCGAGCCGTTTTGAATGTTTCATTGCTGTATTTATTACCAGGAATAATTTCAACGCATTTGGATAGTTTGGTAGACGCATATTATACAACTAATTGGACGCAACTGTCTAGTTGTCTGGCGAAAGCAGCAGTTATAAATGGGTTAAACAGTAGCAGGAAATAGATTCTCGTTTGCTAGAGTTTCTGGCATATTAATTACCAGGCATTGTCAACAGATTAAGAACGATAGTCCGACGAAAATCAACATGAAGCTCATTAGGGGCTGGGGCACTCAAAAGCTCCAAAACAGCGTCATTTGCACATTGCCCAAACAGGCTCGAACTATTTGTAATCATATAAACCGGTTGAAACCTGAGCTTAATAACATTCAAACGAGACTAGCTCGGATTTAACGCGACAATGCAACTGATCAAACGCTTGAAACAATCCAATGGAAATATCAATGGAGTTTTGTTTGGAACTGATGAGTTTTACCGGCGAATGGAAGAGTTTCCTGCTAATCTTTCGCTAGCAAAAGTGTTGTGTATCTTCAGACTTGTGTTGCAACCAGCAGCTAGAAAAAATCAGGCTTTGGATGGATTTGACTGAATAGGCAGAGCCAAGTGTCCTTAGCGGACACACAAACTGTCCCCGATTTCCCAGATTTTTTTCTTTTGAATTACTAATATTAGACCGTTTCAAAAAAATCACTATTTTCTTCGATTTGACTACACATTTGTCTTAAGAGAAGGCCAACTGTTGGCAAGATTTTAAAGCCATCCAAAATTTCTTGTGCTCGATGTTGGTGCAGTCTTGAAGCGAATTTTAGTTACTTCGGACAAATTTGTTTATATTTAGATAGTTTTGAAGTTTTGCAGGCAGAGAAGGTCAAGCCTTTGTAGTGAACGCAATCATTTTGCATAAGCTGCGTGGTCGGATTTCCAGGCGACAATTTTCTGACCAATCGATGCCAATTTTCCATCTTTTGAGACCTTTTGATCCTGCGGATCTGCTTGCTGGATTTTTTGCAGATGAAAAAAGGGACCCTAATTTAGTTTAGAAACTGCATTTTCACATATTAAGAAGCGTAAGACGTAAAAAGCAAGAAAGCGTAAGACCTTCTGAGGGGAACAACCAAATTTCAAGTTGCTAAATTAGCCAGTTTGAACGCCACGAATTTTCAGAAAAACGAATTTTACCTTTTCAAGTTTGCTGCTCTTCAGAATAACATTTTTCATTCCTGAAAATCAGAATTCTTCTCCATTTCACTGCATTTTTGCCAAACGAAAGTATGAAGCATTCGCAGTGAGCGAAGTAAATTTCAAGTTGCTACTTTAAGCAGTTTGCAGGCCACGAGTTTTCAAAGAAATGAATGTCAACTTTTTGCGTCTGCCGTTCATTAGACCTCAACTTTCGAGGGTTCTTGAAAAATCAGGATCTCTCTTGAATTGACTGCATTTTTGCAAGGCAAAAGCTTTAAGCCTTTTGAGCGGATCTACCAAGTTCCAAGTTGCTCCTTTAAGCAGTTTTGGGGCGACGAATTTTCAAAGAAATGAATGTCAACTTTTTGCGTCTGCCGTTCATTAGACTTCAACTTTCGAGGGTTCTTGAAAAATCAGAATTTTTCTCGATTTGACTGAATTTTTGCGACGCGAAAGCGTCGAACCTTTTGAGCGGATCTACCAAGTTTCAAGTTGCTACTTTAAGCAGTTTTGGGGCGACGAATTTTCAAAGAAATGAATGTCAACTTTTTGCGTCTCCCGTTCATTAGACTTCAAATTTCGAGGGTTCTTGAAAAATCAGAATTTCTCTTGATTTGACTACATTTTTTCAACGCGAAAGCGTCAAGCCTTTTAAGCGGATCTACCAAGTTTCAAGTTGCTACTTTAAGCAGTTTTGGGGCGAGGAATTTTCAAAGAAATGAATGTCAACTTTTTGCGTCTCCCGTTCATTAGACTTCAACTTTCGAGGGTTCTTGAAAAATCAGAATTTTTCTCGATTTGACTGCACTTTTGCAAGGCGAAAGCGTCAAGCCTTTTGAGCGGATCTACCAAGTTTTAGGTTGTTACTTTAAGCAGTTTGGGGGCGACGAATTTTCAAAGAAATGAATGTCAACTTTTTGCGTTTGCCGTTCATTAGACTTCAACTTTCGAGGGTTCTTGAAAAATCAGAATTTCTCTTGATTTGACTGCATTTTTACAACGCGAAAGCGTCAAGCCTTTTGAGCGGTTCTACCAAGTTTCAAGTTGCTACTTCAAGCAGTTTGGGGGCGACGAATTTTCAAAGAAATGAATGAAAAACTTTCTATGTTTGCCGTTCTTCAGACTCTTGACATTTTGAGGGTTCTCAAAAAATCACTAGTTTCTCCGATCTTAGTGAATTTTTGCAGACCCCAAGCGAAAGGGTTTCTTAGTGGATCCAATAAATTTTAAGTCGCCAATTGAAACAGTTTAGAGGCGCCGATTTAAAAAAATCAACGTCAACTTTACAAATGTGCGGTTTTACAGGCAAGAATTGGCGACTTGCTCAAAAACCAATTAGCTCCTTGACTTGACGGAATTTTTGCCCTAAAGAAACCCTAAGATTTCTTATTCAACCTATTAAATTTCAACTTGTTGGCTGATCGCCTTTGGAAGCAACGATAAAAAAATCCTAGTCCCCTTCTCTCTTTGTCACTTTTCAGGCCAACCTTAAAGATCCATAAAAAAATAGTTTTCCCCGCGATTTTACACAAGTCGCAAAGCAACCTCTGAAGACGCAAGACGCAGGTCTCTTATGCTGGCGAAACGTCAGGCAGACCCAGTTTGAAAACAGCAATGGGTTTGATGCTTTTATCCTTCCGCTGTTCATTTTTCGGCCACGTGAAAAATCGCCATTAATTATTAATCTAAGGGCTGCTTGGCAATTACATTCGGCGCCTTTGTCATACAACGCAGCGAAGAAAAGTTGCCATTTTCCCCTTTGTGAGTTTCCCAAAGTTCGCTGCTAATTAAAATAAACTGTCCCGTTTTGCGTTTCAAATCCGACTCATACCGGCTCCAGTGTTACAAGGCGGAAATAACAGGGATTTAAAAACAAACTGTCTGGCTTTTGGCAATTTCCTTACCTCCATTACATTATCTTTTCGCATTCCGTCCTGTCATTATTGCCCGAATGGCCGGTCATGTTGCAAACAAACGATGCGGCGACATTGCTGAAACAAAACACACTGTTAGTGGAAATTATACCATTATGTTGACTCAAAGAACACTCATTATTAAAAGGAAACATTCCGGCAATTGGAGTGATCGCCTTTGGGAATGGGTGCTGGAAATGTGGGCGAAACGTCGCTTGCAAGATATACTGGACGTTTTTGAAAGGCAAAGTGCCAGGATATTTTTCTATTTGCTCGTTTCGCGTTCGGTTCATTCATTCGCGTTTTTTTGCTTAATTTGACTGCAACTATTTTCAACATCGTATTTTTAGTCCATGCTTTCAGTTACATTTTTCGGGGTTTTCATATTAAACATTAAACAACAGTTTCGTTTTTAGAAAATGCTTACAAGGTTCTTTTTCTCATACGGTTTACGTTGTTTTCTATTGTTTTTCTCACTTTTTCTTCGTCTTCTTGGGATCTTGCCAAAAGCTTGTTGAATATCTTTAGATCGGACGTATACTTTTTGATTTTTAATAGTTTCTTCAATGTTCTCTTTTTCGATTTGAACTCTTTCACTTCCTAAAGCCACTTTGCAATTTCTCCAACCGGATCTCTACAATTTTTCTAGACTCAATTCGACTGTCTTTCTCCGTATTTATTACTTCGTTGTCATTTCCACGCTTTGGCATGATTTCTTCGTAATTTTGTTTTTCTTTCGCATTCAATTTCTTCTTCGTTTTCCGCATTAGTTTGTTCTCGCTCAGTCTCTTCATAATCTCATGTTCATTTTGCATTAATCCTCATTCTGCCGTTTCTCCTTCTATTATTTCTGACTGTTTTAGGACCTTTTAAAGCAAAGTTTAAAGTTAATTACAAATTTTTGTTGTCCACTTCTCTCTGTTCTCCAAAAAAATTTCCTGGGACTCCCAAAGGTTTCTTAAATAAATAAAAAACGTTTCTTCTCTATTGTCGTTTTGAATTTGAACTCCCAGGCTTCTGACGGTTACTTTAGGATTCCTCGAACTGGATTGCTATATTTTTCCTTCTTCTCTCTAGAGTTCTTCAGTGTACTTTAATTTACAGACTTCCTCTAGAATATTTAACCACCTTTCATCCACGTTTTCTAACATCTCAACTGTATTTCTGTCGCAGCTGTTTCCTTGTGTGTTGGCGTATTGCTTGTTTTCCTTTATTTCTTCGTCATTTCCGTCCTTTCTTTCGCTTTCCACTTCTTGGTTCTTTCACAGATTAAATAGATGCTCAAAGCATCCATCTGCCTATAATATCATGTTCATGTCCAACTGAGACTTTTTTGCCTGGTCTGAAGAAATTTAGTGGAAATTCAAATTTTAAACTATTTAGTCTGGTTTTGTATGCAAATTCTTATAAAAAAGTATTTTTTTGAGGATTGATAGATAATCAATTATTAAAACTTTGACATGTTTTTCATTGAAAATTATCGCATGAACTTAGGTTGTATTAAACGCAACTAAAAGATGGAAGATTTTGGATGAAGCTGAGCAATTTGATTGATTCCCCAATATACAGGGTGTCCCAATTGGAAAAAATTCCAACCATTAACAAGCAGATAAAGAAGGTTTTTCCTGTTTGTTTGCCTGTGCGATTTGGGACTCGAGTAAATGTCTGGATTAAAACCGAAGATTTTCCCGTGCAAATTAATGGAGTTATTCGTGGCAATTAATTCAGTGCCGGTTTCCTGGCAAGCTGCTCAATACTGTAAAATATTGAATCGATTCGAGTCTGAGCTGGGAAATAAACCAGTTCCATATTTTATGCTTAGCATGATTTACGGTCGTATTTAATTTAATGTTTCATTTTAAATTAGCCGAGTTTCACCGGAAACACAGAAATAATGCAATACTAAGAAACTGGTTTTGTTCCATTTCGCATTTAATTCCCCCTGCATTCGTTCCCTTTTAGTAAAACCGATTTGTCTTCTATCATCGTTTCGAAATGGAATTTCCGCATTTTCAAAGCAACTAAGACTTAAGATTGTTGATGTGTTCTTAGACAGTTTATTAAAATCCTCGTAGTTTCCTGAACATTTGTTTTTTTCTGTTGGTTTGTTTGTGACTTTTTCGCTTCGATGTTGAATCAGACATTCATTATCCAGTGAGTAGAAGGAAAAGAGGGAAAACTTCAGGCGAAACTGAACCGGTTCACGTTAAGATTAATGCGAAAACGGAGTTGGACACAGTTGTCAGAAGGGATCATTTGTTATGAGGAGAAGTTTCCACGGGAACAAAAGTCGGTTATGCAAAGAAAATCATTTAATTCACTATCTATAATGGAGTTTCCTGGGCCCCAAGAACGATTCATTATCGGAGTGAAAGACACGACGATTACCTTTTGATAGCGCGAGTTAAACACTGATATCTTTATTGATTGTCCTGTCGGTTTAGCTGAACTTTAGAGCATCAGCGTCTTTAATCGACCAACTGGATCAGAGACTGGAGACTAGAAGTAAATTAGGAGACGAATTTGGATGGGAAATTTTCGCGACTAGTCAACGGGGAAAATAAATATCCATTCATCGCCTGAATGGTGCATTTGTACATTTCCTGCTCAGATAATGCAGCAGCTAAACAGGCAACGCTAAATGATCGCCACATTTAATCAGTTTTACGGAAAATGATTTTTCTTGACACGAAAACGCCACTATCCGCGTATACTCAGCGGAATCAGTTTGATAAATCGTGTTTACTCAGAGATTTCCTTCATCTTGTATGACTAAAAGCGAAACGCTGCTCTTTCGAGATAATCAGAATTGCTCTTTACGACAACAATGACGTCGCGACGGTAGCGTCGGTGTAAGGAGTTTATTTTGCGTCGTTGCGACGCCTTTGAATATTTTTCCCGTTAGTTTCGTCTTGCTCGGCTAAATCATCCTGAAGAATTAAATGACTATCATCGTTGGGCGAGGATACAAATTTACGCCCATATACGTTTCGTTCAGATTTGCCCGATTTTTGCCAATTGAGGACGGGATGTTAATAAGTCGCTATTTAAAAGCATATTTTGGGGTACTTTATTGGAGATATTCCATAACCATGTTTTATACAACGTAGGTTTATTTGCGATTGAAATTTTAAGGGTCGTTTTAAGCGTTTTTCGCCCTGATTTTAGAACATACGCTATATTTTTGAAGGGGCAGGGCCAAAGCGGGTTGAATTTGCAACAAAACGGTGAAAACCCCAGTTTTCCAGGTTTGTTGGCTAGAGAGTTAACGCCAAAAGAGAATCGATTTTTTTTACTTTCGATGGTTCAATGACAAAAGTTTATAACCACGGTGTATAAGTTTATATTCATTATGATTAATTTATAACATAGAGCACGGCGCTGGTTTAGACCTCAAAAACCCTCAAAACTTGCGGTTTTTTAAAGCAATCTAAACATACAAAAGGAAACCAACAGTTGAACTTCCAAAGCGAGAAGCGTTTCGGAAATTTTACTAGGAAACAGTGCAGTTTTCTTAAGAATTTTCACTTTTCTTTTGTATAATTGTTGTAGCTTTTATCATTAAGAATTCTCTTTTGGCTCTAACTCTTCTAACTAACCCAAACTAAACCAATCTAACACAAAGTCTCTTTCCTTCAAACCAAGCTTTTTTTCGATTGCTACATTATCAGTTTTTTTACCTCAAAATTAATTTTCTATTTAATTTAGGGATTTTATTGCCTTTTTTGTTTTCTTGGCATCTGCAACCGTTTTTAAGTGAAAACAATATAAATAGTCTACAAACCATGAGCACAAATTGAATTCGATTCCTCGCAAAATTCCCCCATTAAAAATATCAGAATCTCGCCGTTCTAACGTTTAATATTTTAAGCAAGACGCGCCAGCAAAATCCAACCGGAGAATACAAAACAACTCAAACCACTTTTGAAAGTTGATTACTTTCACAAAATCGTCCGTCTTCAAAACCCTTTTAAAGGAAAATTCGTTTTCCCCAACCACTGGCGCCATAAATGTCAAACACTCTGTACAATAAATTCCATTAAAGTCAAGGTTGAATTTAGGTGCCTTGGCAGGAAGTTGTAGCCAAGTTTCGGGGAAAAACGAGCAAACATCTTCAGTATTTGCGAGCAACTTTGTACAATGCACTTGGGCCCATCTTCGAAACAATACACAATGGCAAGTCACTTCTATTTATGACACGTGGAACAATGCAGGCCGTGGAAGTTGCAGATCTACATATCACGCCCCCATTTCCATTCGCAATAATATATCTCGGGAATTTCCATCAATTCGGGCAAATATGCTCTTGTACTACTTGGCACTAGCGGTGGGGGAAAGTAGTTTTAGGTGCACTCTGATACGCGCCGCCATTTGACTCAAGATGTGTTGTCAATGCTTTCTACCGATTTTCAGTGGGCGGCTGCCGATAGTCCAAGGGCAAAAATTTACAAAAATGTATACTTTTGATCAACAGTACGTAATCAAGCAAATTCCCTGGCGATCTTGAAGCCAATGCTGGAGATTACTTTTTAATGTCTAAATATTGCAGTTTAATGGCATCGGCGGTTTCCTTATATGTCTTGTACAATAGCCAGTTGCTAACCTTCACCGACTTTGATAGATTTTTTCGTCTAAATCTAATGTTACGCTAACATTGACGACCTGATTTAGTTGATTTTCAATGCCAATTGGGATTTTCTTGCAAACAAACGAACTTTTCGAATGAATATTTCCAATCATTTCCACGTACATGGAATCGATTAGCGATTTGTGTGAAAACAAGCCGAAAAGTGAAAGTCGCTTAAGATCGTTTGCAACATAACGTGTGTACGCTCTTCGTAGTTGAATTTTAAACGATTATCCAATCCGTCAGCTGGTGAGCGTCAGGCATGTATTTAAAATTGCATTTTCTGCGTGGAATCCATAATTCAGTGGCATCTTTGCCCATAAATAACGCAACTCGTCTTCAGAGTTTACAAACGGCACAATCTGCGCGGCTAAAGTTCCTGACCCAGTCATTACTCAAACTACGAATTATTGCAGTTGAAAACTAGCCCAAAATGCTGACGAATTTTCACCGTGTTTAGGCCAACGAGATTCATTAAAGTGTCGACAGTTTAGGGAAAAAGATCGCAAATCTGGATCGAAGCAGCAAATTTTTGAGGATTTTTTGGTTGCATAATACAGATGGAAACTGGTTAAAGTGACTAAACTGGAAAAATCCAGGGATATTCGGAAACCGACAAGTTGTTCCAAAGCTTTTGAAAACTCCGATCTAGCTGAGACACGCTGTATATTGTTAGAAATTTCGGTTAGTGTCAGATTTAGCTAACAATTTCTCAATTTTGAAAAAAATTTGAGAAATCTAGTCAGTGATTTGGAAAGGTTGATAAAATATGCAATGAAAATCAAAGGCCTGTTGTCAAAAAACTGCGAATGACGCAATGGATTAATTATTAAAAAATAATGACCTCAGAAAAGTCACCACCCTGTATGTTCTTGCGAGCAAGAGTGTGACTGAATGCTTAGAGCAAAAACATTTAACATCGTCCTAAATTTGAATGCTAGAAATATGGAGGAAAAAACGCAGAAAAGTTCCAGTTGTCAATAGCAGTTAAGATTGTTTATGCCGCAGTTTGCCGTATCCTGATCTTTTGCTGTTGAACATTCACACACTTTTCACTGTGTTGGAATAACAGGCGAGCAAGCAAATGGGAAAAAGCCTCCATAAAACCAAATTCATGCAAGTAAGTAAAAAGTCCCGCGTTATTTAAAAAACCCAATTTTTGCTGCCTTGAGATACAATTCAACAATTTTTCATTTTCTGTAGATATTGTTTGAAGGTAATCAGCAGAGCAAAAACAAAAATGCAAAACTCCATATGCCTGCGGGCTATTAAGAACCGCCCCCATCCGATCGGAAAAAAGCATTGGAACCACGACGCGAAATAAACAGCCGCGTCTCCGAAGGTTTTGTCAAAACTGCTTTCCTCTCAGCACTTGACTGTGTAGTCCGAGTGCAAACCTATTGAAATGTGAGCATCTATATTAGGATACATTTCAAATAACTGGCATTTCAACTGTTTGCGCTTCAGGTCATTTTTGTTAAGCTGCAAAAGTTGGCAGTAATTTTATTTCTTCCCCAGCTAGATGGCCGGACAGACATAAATCTTGGCGGAAACAAACGAATTACTCTTCACATCATAACGGCCTAAGGGAGTGAAACTGCGCCATTATATATGCCTAACGGGGACATCAGTTTAGCACATCCGCAAAGCACTTACTTCACCATGTTAGTATGTCCAACTGAGAAATATTGCCCGAGGGAGACTTGGGAGTGTCGGGTAACAAAAATGATGCCATGTCTACCTAAAAGGTGTTTCTGGCTTGGCTCATTTTCATTCATTTCGCTTGTTGTGTTCATTTTTTCCCAAAATGGAATTTATTTGGTACCCGACCGTGTCAGACCAAAGACATGGTGAAGGATCTATGGGACTTTCTGGATATTCAATTCCGGCTTGCGGCGACTTGATTACACGCGATAAACTACTGAAGCCATTAAACCGATTTTAATTAAAGTTTATATTGTTTAATAAGATGGTGCAATAAACCATTCCAGACAATGCCGCGGAATTGGGTGTCGGACTGCAGCAATTCAGTTTTACTTTCCACGTAAAACAGTTTAATTAAAATGCTTGTTTACGCGAAGTGAAAGAGGAAGACCAGCCATTCTGGCTGGGTGAAGTGAACGGTCGACGATAGTGGAATAGTTTCCTCAAGTGAATTAGTATTTGGGTTGAATGTTGCAACTGTTGTTTGCAAGAACTGCGACCTTAAGCCAACTTCCGGCATCTTAAAAATCAATGGTTCCTCGATGGCAAAGCCATCGATGGGACTTGAATTCGAGTTGCGCGACCCTGACTTGAATTCTTCGGCCAAGGCAAGGTCGGGCCTGAGAACTGTGGAGTTTTCTTAGTTCAGCAGCGAATTTCGCACAATTAGTTAAGGAATTTGCTTGGAACTTCCATTTGGCTCTCTTTACTAAATGGGAAATACTCTCAGGGTGTTCACAATGAACTAACTAGCCAGATTGACTATGAATTTTACATTTTTATGCGTAATAAAACCAATTTAATTCCCTTCAATTAATGCTCAAGTTGGCTCGGACTAAAACCGGTGATGTTTCCTTGAAACTCTACTTCTTGTATTTATATATAAAACAAGTGGTGTGGTCGCTTTTGTTTTTATTCGCGCACAACTACAAGGAAGTGATCAGTGTCAATATACACGGACAAGAGTGATAGTGAATTATTGGATAACATTACCAGTTTCGGTTGCCCAAATCTGTAAGTGCTTTGAATAAATCAGCATAAAAAAATCAAGTTTCAAAATCCGCCTCTGATGTACATGGTTTTAAATTTAAAGTCGCCAGAGGAAGCAAAAAAACTTGTCGAATCACAACCAAGAATCAGCCGTTTTTTTATTGAGTAAGCGGACAGTTTTTGACAAAATGACCGCATGTTTAATCAAACAGAAAAAATGTTGACTTTCCTTGGGATTCCTCTTAAATTTCTGTTAGTTTAGTTTGGACACCCTGTATGTTAGATGTGTGTAAGGAATCAGGCCATTGGGAGATCGTTTAGAAGAACTGAGCGCGATCAAAGGACTTGAGTACATCACAAAACACTCAATTGGGCCAGTTTTGCGCCTCATTCAATGAAACGGTTTGTTTCCATATCGGGATTTGAATCAAATGTGAAATCAGTAGCATGTTTCTTAAAATTGGCGACGTTTCACCATATTTATTTCGACATCTTCAGGGTCAATACAACGCGAGACAAGATTCAAAAATTCTATGATTTTGGAGTAACGACTCCTCTGTAAAAAATCAGAAATCTTCTACTTTTAAGACACTCCTTTCAAATTTTTAAAATTTATAGAAAATCAACGGAAACTTGCAATCTATGGAAATTCTGCTAGAACTTGACCTGATGTATCTTCTATAAAAATCCAGCAGTTCAGAATTGCATCGGTCGGATTTTTAAAGTTACAATTTTTGAGACAATCTTCTACATTTAAGACACTCCTTGAAAATTTTGAAAATGTATATAAAATCAACGGAAACTTGCAATCTATAGAAATTCTGCTAGAATTTGGCCTGATATATATTCTATAAAAATCCAGCAGTTCAGAAGTGCATCAGTCGTATTTCTAAAGTTACAATTTTTGAGACAATCTTCTACATTCAAAACACTCCCTGGAAATTTTGAAAATATAGAAAATCAAGGGAAACTTGCAATCTATGGAAATTCTGCTAGAACTTGGCCTGATGTATATTCTATAAAAATCCAGCAGTTCAGAAGTGCATGGGTCGGATTTTTAAAGTTACAATTTTTTGAGACAATCTTCTACATTTAAGACACTCCTTGGAAATTTTGAAAATTKATAGAAAATCAACGGAAACTTGCAATCTATGAAAATTCTGCTAGAACTTGACCTGATGTATCTTCTATAAAAATCCAGCAGTTCAGAATTGCATCGATCGTATTTTTTAAGTTACAATTTTTGGAGACCGGCTTCTGGCTTCAAGACACTCGTTGGAAATTTTCAAAATTTATAGAAAATCAACGGAAACTCAATGTATGGAAATTCTGCTAGAAATTGACCTGATGTATCTTCTATAGAAATGCGGCATTTCAGAAATGCATCAGTTGGAATTTGGAAGTTGTCAGTCTTTTAATACAGGCTTGCACGACAATACAAAATCCAGTTATTATGTTTAATTGCCCACGTTTTACTATATTTAAATAGATATTTCAAATATCACTCGTGGTGGGTTTTTTTGTAGGCATAGGCAGAAATTGATTTCTTGAGGTTGAAAACGTTATAAACAACATCTTGCATGAATAAAACAAAAATAAAATTGCCAAATTTAACGCCTTCCTCCTATAGTTACCAAATCAAAGTTCATGAGCGGCACATCGGAAAATTCGACGTAAAAAATATTCCAGTTGCAATTATTGCTGGCAATTTTCACCAGAACAACGAACACGAATGGGGATATAAATGTGAAAAATATGAATGCGCTATCGATGTTCTAAAAGCCAGAAAACGGTTCAGAATATCGTGTTTCATCATGAAAATCGTCAGTTTTTTTATGTTTTGCTTCTCGGCAAAACGGGGGTTTTAAGTCAATTTTTATGCAGAAATCCATTAAAAAAATATAAAAATATTGCAAAAATCCTGTGTAGAAGCAAACAGGGCATTGGCTCTCAAGATGGCCAAATAAAGATGGCAAAACGTCCATAGTTTTCAAAATATTAATCACTAGCAGTGATTTGAGTCGATTTCGAAAAAGATGGCGTTAAACGGCCTCTTTGCACATCCATCCAAACACGCATTTTTTCTTGAACATACACAATTTCTAAACAAATTTAACAAATGCCTAATATTCGTCTCACATCGACGTTTTTCTGCTTAATTAAATTGCAAAATGCGTAAAACAACCGCGAAATGTCGCGAGCGAAAACGGCCGAGAAAAAGCATCAGGAGATTGAAAATTGTTTACAAACCGAGAACGAAAATGGATCATTTCAGGCGCTTTTAAGGCATGTGATATTTGCAAATACCTGCGACCGACCGCTGGGGGGAACAAATTAGATAAGGGAGAAAAACCCTTATAAGAAACCCACCCTTAAGCCCAGAGATTTACATTCCAGTGTGATGTTTTCATGTTGTCCTCATACAGGTGGCAAATTTGAAAATATCCAGCCCAAATTTCGGCGAATTTTAGCCCTAAATTCCCTACCGGAGGCGTGTTGAAAGGAAGAAGAAGAAAATAGAACTTGGAACCTTGGCTGGCGTGTTTTTGCCGAAAGTAGGCATATTAAAGGCCTGATGTTCGATTCTTAAAAAATGTATAAATGCACACTCTGGGCCTAAAGTGAACTGTTTCCCTGAAAATCCCTCAAGATATGGAAGGAAAAGAACAGCCAAACTCCCCGTTCTTCCACTTCCACATATGAAACAGCTGAGTATAAGGGCACTATTGAATACAGGGTGTTATTATCTCTTACCTCAATTAATCGCAAAAGAAAATTATCCGAAAATACAAGAAGTCCTATAGAAATCCATGTCACTTGAAGTTCTTGTGCTCCTATCTTGAGGTTTTTGTATGGCTTGCCGGCACTTTTCCGATTCAATCGTGTACTGAGCCACAAATTAATTACGGAAAAACACGCAGGTTTATTGCGCGAAAATTGGAAAATACGAAAAGGGCATAACGGTGCGCAACAATCCACGTTTACCGGCAAACTGAAGTGCGCCCATGTGGTTTTCGCAGGGTGATAGTTTAGGCGCGTGCCTATTGGGAAGCTGAGCTAAAATTGCGAAAAAAACCGATTTTCTTCATAAAATATCAAAAATTGTTGCACCACTAAACCCGTTGTTTCTCGCTTAACCGTTTTGTCAATAAGCTACACACTGTTTTAAAGCTTTTTTGTATTTATTTGCATTTACTGGCCATAAATCAGTGCAGATTGGTGCTCTTGATACTCTACACGCTTGGCTAATGTTACCAGCTTTCCTCTACAGCATGTCAAACACTTTAGCATTTTGTTGTTATGTTAATGAACTGGGCCGTTTGAAAGATTTTTTTCAGCTGTTTATTTTCCATTAATTAAGCAATTTTCTGTGCTTTTGGGGCGCTGTTAGTTCGTTTTCATACTTGGCTTTGTTTTGAATAGAAATTTGGCGCATGCAAAAATGCATTTTGAAAATGTTGTCACTTATTTTTTGCTTAGGTTTGAATGGCGATGAGTATAGGGTTTGATTTAGAAATTTTTCTGGTTTTGCAATTTTTTATCGGCGGTAGTTTTCGAGCAAATGAGTTTCAAGAGAGCAATAAAGCGAGCCACAAGAATTTCAATAAATCACCCAAAAACACACAAAAAAATTTAATAGTTTTCAAAGGTAAACAGCAGTTGACGATTGTGCGAGTCAACTAATTTAAAGTCAACTAAATAAAAAAATATACAAAAACAAAAAACATTGAAATAAAAAGTGACAAAGATTGTCTATTTTTGCACTCAGAAAAAAGTTTTAAAAATTATTCAAAGCGCACGTGAATTAAAGAAAATTTTAAGTCAATCATACGAGCAGATAATTGCAAGTATGTAATCGTTTACAATTGTTTGTTCAGAATCCGACGTAGATACAAAAAAAACACAAGAGGCCAAAAAGTTTCTCTAGTAAAAAGAGAACTTAGTTTCTTGTCGATAGGCGATCAGTAGCATGCGGTAATGGGGTTGGAAGAAAAGAGATGTGAGAACGATCTTCAAGCTATTTCCCTGTTTCTTCGCACAACCATCAGCAGCGATTGGGGAGAAAAAATTGAGTAAAATAGTTTACTGAGTGACGAAGCACTAAAGCAAAGAAGTAAACAACAGAAAATGCGGGACTTTTATCAAAAACCAAGCAACTGTAAAACTTTTGACAATCGGAGTCTCTCAGAACTTCAGTGTTGGCTTGCAAGCAATTGCATTATAATTTTTATCTCAAAGTCCAAGACGAAAGAGGACGAAAAAAATTTTCAATAAAAAAACTTTTCAAATTAAATGTTAACTCTAAAAATTCTGAAGAAATTACCAGTGGCGCGCTCATCAAAAGTTCGAGGGGGATAAGCGAGGCACGACCCTAAAAAAACGTTTGTAAATACAATTTATTTTCAACTGATTCTGCGGACTCAATTTTCGGCTGAAAGGTTCGCAAAAACTTCTAAAAAGCCAAACAAATATTATTTTCCTAGTTATTGCGGCTAAATATGTTGCGATGTTCCAGATTAACTATTTAAGCGCTTGTTCGACTAATTTTGATTGATTTTCTGGGTGTAAAATCCAGGAAATCTTTCTCGGATCATGTAGAAATATGGGGTTTTCCTAACATCTGATTTGCCTAACAATCGCCAAGCCCAAATTTGCTTATTGCAGGTCAATGAATTGGTTTAATCCCTGTCAAGACCCGACGAGGTTCGGCTAATTGAAAAGGGGGGTGCGACAACTTCAGGCCCTTGTTTCCATTTCAGGAAATTAGAGATCCGTAAAACCAACCAGTGCCACTCTTGTATAAATACATCGTTATTCTAATAGAATGCTGGCAGGGCCGGATTAACTTGTGGTAGGGCCCGGGCCCACGATAACTGCAGAGGCCCTTTAAAAAAAAAAAAA